TCCTCCTCACCCAATTATCAACGATTCCTCTCTTTCATTCGTTTCATTAAAAGTTTCCTCCTCCTCTCCACCTGCTCCTCCTCTACGCCCTCCACAGCTTCAGCTGCCCATCATCCGCAAATGTCGCCATCACGTTGCGATGGGGGTGGTGGCAGAGACCGATCGGCTCGCGCTCGTGTACCCTGGCAGCAAGTCAACACAACCATAAGACGTCAAGTCGATCCCTCACTTGGTGATCTGCTCCAGTTTTCCATCTTGAATGTTGAAGACGTACATGTTCTGAACAAGAATTGTCATCAGCTCCATCGCCCCAACTTCCATTTCATCATCATCATCACCACCACCACCACCATGAGCATCATCATCAACATCACCAATGTAAAGAAAAAGACCTGAGTCTCAACAAACATCACTCTCATCAACATAAACTTCAACTCATTCATCTCTTCCCCATCATTCCTATCTCTTCCATCATCCTTCATCTCCTCTGCCTCACCTGATCTTCAGCGAGGCAATACAACCATGATCCCATCCTACTCACGCACGCGTTCAAGAAGTCTCCTCCAGTCTGCCCGACATGTCAAACTTCACAAGACAACAGGGCAGCAGACCTTCTTGCCGGAAGAAATCGTCTTCACAACCTGACAGAGTACAAATGAGGATGGAGAAGAAGAGCGCGAGAGAAAAGAAAATTAACTACGCCTCCTCCTCTGTTAGTTTTCTCTTTCCTCTTCCCTCCCCTCCCCTCCCCTCCCCTCCCCTCCCCTCCCTCCCCTTGATCCTTGCTTTCTCTCGTCCTCAGCCTCCTCTCCAACAGCTACACGAACTTCACCTGTCCCGCCATGGTTACGACGTAGGCGGTCGAGCTCCGGTCGCAGACGATGAGGTTGTCGGTCTTGGGGATGCAGCAGCAGCAGTTCACTGCAATCTCCTGCCGATGCTGCGTGACTCCTCTCTCTCTCCCCTCCTCGCTCTCACCTGCCCAGCTGGGTTCGGCCTGAAGCTGTAAATGCACTCTCCGCTCTTGGGGTCCCAGACCTGCACAACAGCTCTCTCTCAGCACGTCGAGTTGTCAGCATCTCAAGTAGTTTGTAAGCAACATCACCACAACCACAACAACAATAGTAGCAGCAGCAGACACATCGGGCCAGCACTCCCGTCTCACCTTGACGTAGCCATCGCTGCCCGAGCTGATGATGCGCAGCCCGTCGATGGAGTAGACGCAGTGGTTGATGTAAGAGGTGTGTCCTCGCATCTCCTTCAGCATCTTCCCTGACTGCCGTCCACTGTGAGGCCCCGAGGAGGCGCAGCGATGGCTCACCTTCAGCCCGTGCATTCTCATGCAGGCGTCGTAGGAGGAGCTGCAGATCTGAGTGCCGTCGCGAGAGAAGCAGAGGCAGGTGATCCCTTGCGAGTGAGCCTTCTCGAACTTGCGGACGCACTGCCCTGTCTTCACCTTCCACACCTGAGAGGTTTCATCAGGCGCTGGCACGAGAGGAGAGGAGAGGAGGAGAGGACTGGGGAGGACAGCAGGGGCGGAGAAGCGTGGAGAAATTTAGTGGAGAGGAGAGGAAGAGGGGAGGAGCCAAAAGGAGGACTCGAAAAAAGAGGAGAGGAGAGAGGAAAGAGCAGAGCAGAGCAGAGCAGAGCAGAGCAGAGCAGAGGTGCACACTTACCTTGATCTTCCCCGACTGATCTCCAGTGGCCAGCAGCTCACTGTCTTTCGACCACGCGATGGAGAGGACGGCATCTTCATGCATCATGAGCTCGTCGTTGGCTTGATACTTGAGATCCTTTCTCAACTTCCCCGTCTCGTGGTCCCACACCTCCACAAACCCGTCCAGACTTCCGGACACAAGGTACTGCCCGTTGGGTGAGAACGCTGCGCATTCAGCATGCGTCTTCTTGCCGAACTTGATGGAGTGAGTGTTCCTCGTCGGGTACTCGTCGTACTCGTCCGGCTTCGTCGCCGTCGTTCCCTTGAAGATGTCGAACTGAGAGCCGGGAGGAAGCATGCCCTGGTGCTGCTGCCACTTCAACGCCTGACCCAAGAGGACGAGGAGGCGGGAAGGAGGGACGACGCTGATCTCCGTGGAGAAAGACTTAGCTATCTCCGACCTCCTCGATTCCTTCGTCGCTCCTCCTTCGTATGCATCTCTAGGATCCCAGGTGGGGCTGGCGCAGAGGGACTCGAGCTTGATGTACCTGTTGGGCTCCTCTCGTTTCATGATGAGCAAGCACTCAGACTGTCTCAGCATCGCTCGTGCCACGTCCATCTCCCTCAGCTCCAGCAGCTCCATCGCGATCTGCTCGTGGAGGTCCATCATCTTCTTCACCGGCAGCTGCAGGTTCTGGCACGCAGCGAGCACGAGGTCCCAGTTGCCTGACTGGATGTCTCCTAAGAAGCCTTCAACGCTCTCGACGGTGTTGAGCGCTACTTTAGACTCGTCCTGGAGAGCTTTCATCGTCTCCTGCACATCCAAAAGTCAATCAAGATAGGATTTAGTAGTAGGTAGCGCCTGAAAGCAACAAGCACAATATGTTGTTAAGCAAGGGAGAGAGGAGAAGAGGAAGAGTGTGAACGAGGCGGTGAGGGTGGTAATGGAAGAAGTGGAGGAATGAGGAGTTGGTGGCTATTGTGGTGTGCGGAGGAGGGTGTGAGAGAGGAGGGGAGGAAGGAGGGAAGGAGGGGAGGGAGGGGAGGGAGGGAGGGAGGGCCGTGATTATCAACGTAGAAAGGAATCTCATATCGACACGTCCTGAAGCAGCATCTGATACCAACGATTATCTTCTTATAAATTCTGAATATCGCCAACCATATCATGTACCTGCCATT